AATCCTAGAGACGAGAAAGATTATGCAATACCTGTAAACATATAGAGGATGAGTGTCATTTCCTTTTAACTTGTACAAAGAATGATGAGCATAGACAATTATTGTACACAAAGGCTAGTGCAATTTTAAGTAACTTTGACCTCAATAGTGAAAATTTATTTGTCAATCTCATTTCCAGTAAAAATTTAACATTACAAAGACACTTTGGAAAATTCATTTATCATTCATTTAAGAATTTATAGTCAGAGAGCAGGGTATGTCCACCACACTTTAATGTAACATTGTAACCTTGTCCTTTCATCATGATGTATGCTACCTTTTATTTTTGTTTTTTGTATATCTCGTATATATTTTTGTACTTTTGCTTTAGTTAGTATTTGTAGTTTAGATATTTAGTTTTTCATAGTTATGACTAATATTATCATGTTATGATACAAGATGTCAATAAAAGTTATATATACAGCAAAGTATTTGATGATGTAAAATTGTAAACATAATTATTAAAATCATCAAAAATTCAAACATGAATTAAAATTCAATTAGTTTAGACAATATAAATGAATGATAGTACTTATAGGATTCAATATTCAATATAATAGTAATTCAGTCTTCCATGGGTACTTAGTTGCACTAGGCCATATTTATAGAGAAGAAGTAGATACAAAGTAGTTATTCACAAGAAGAAATTTTATATTGGAATTTAGAATATATGTGATACAAAGTCAAATTACGCAATCTAGACATAATGAAAACAATCTTTAGCAGAAAATCATAAAACCACCCACAATATTCTTATCTAATAACCACAAAAGAGATACTTATCAAGATATATTTGACCAACAGTTCAAACACCAAAAGTTGTGTACATGATAGGGTAAGATAACTAAGCTGTGAATCATAGAGGAAACTAAGCTTCTAAATAGAGTTTTGTGATTTGAGTTTGGCCTTATTGTTACTAGAAATTGAATTTGGTAATATTCCTTCAAAGTTTTGTAAAAACGTCATTTTAATGGTTAAAATGCTAGCAATAAAACCACGAAACACTGTTATAATATCAGGTTAGATCATTCTCAATTAAACTTTCTTAGATTGAACTTTGGTGTGCCAATTACATTTTGAGTGGAATAGCAATTTGCAATGACTGGTTTTGATATAATCTTGTGTAATGAATGAAGCTTTGCAATATTTGAAAATGGTTATCATACACATGAAGTTCACAGTCTGATCAAATTTGTAATTTAATAAGATTCCAAGATGATACCTAAGCCTAAAATCCATATTTTGGTTAATGTGATATTTGAATTGTATTTGTTCTTCTTTAATATACTGCGCTCAAAATTGTTTTGACTGTTTAAAACTTATGTTTTTCACTTTTATTTCAGTTTTCAGTTTTACATGGAATTGAAATAAATAAAATATAGATATACATAGTAAATTAAAAACATCTGTTGATAACTCCATCTAAGTAGGTTGATTAATGTGACACATTCCTGGTATCAGAACTTTGGTATCAGCTTTTGCAAGGAAGCAAAAAATAAGCTGTCAATTAAGCATGATATATCTTGTCCTTGAAACTTGTTATAAACCCAATACATGTATGGCTTCATTGTAATCATTGGAATGTGAACAGTCTTTCCACAACTATAAGTGTAGATGAATCTTGCTATAAACTGCTAAGGCTTTATTGTTACTTTTCTCAATGATGCCATATAATTCAATGACTTCAAATTCACCTCTACATAATACTTCCAGCTTAGCTACATGTTACTTTCCATACACACTGTAGTACTTGCTTCAGTGAGTAGATTGTGTTACATGATGGCATACAAAAGAAATTATTCAGGGGTTTTCTGGTAGTTATGTCATGTCTTAATTTTCCATGTCCACACTTAGTGATGTTTTTTTAAATTTAGATTTTGGTTTACTTTTACAGAGTTCTTGTAGTGGTAATTATTTATTTGACATTCTTGTTTTATTATGACTCTATCTTCTACAAATGAAATATGAATATGTTCAGTGACTGTGTAATTTTGGTGGTACATATCTCTTGATTGCACATTTAACCCAACAGCCATTTAATCTTTTTTTGATGTTTTGAACCTTTGAATTTAAGCAGTACATGTCAAATATTATATTGAATTCATTGGAGCCATTTCGAATACAAAGGCATAATAATTGCCCTACCTACCATATTTCTATTTAATAATTATTAAGCTTGGTCATGAACTTACATTGAAACATGCTTTATTTTTTATTTAAATTGAGCTTGAGTATTGTTTTAACTAAAATAAATTAACAATACAATTAATACAGTTTAAACAATATCTTGAAGGAACCACTCAAGTGTGGTCTAATAGTAAGGGGTGGTTCAGAGGATGGTACAAACATTCAAATGCAGTGAATGTGTAGATTATCAAAAGTTTTGTTAATAAAACTATTTATGTAATTGGTGGATTTGGCAAAGTTTTGCATCTCAAATTCAAAATAAAATTCTTGGTAATAGGTCCAATCGGTTTTTCAAAACATATTTATTATTTTGGTTATATGATGTAGTTTTCAGTAATAATAATTGTTTCTTTACAGTTATCATAATACATGATCACACTAGAATTGAAACTAGGCCATATATCAACATTGAGATTGGAGAACATTTTTCTGCAAACATACTCAATGACATAAAAAATTATACAAATATGGGGCCACAAAAATGTGTTCCCTGTAGGTACTCTTACAGAAAGGCGATTTTATTAAGAAGTCATTGAAGCATGTGCTGATGAGATGCTCACTATAGACAAAGAGTGTGTTCACTAAAGAAATTAGTTCACTATTTCTGTAACTTTTGTTTTGTTAGTTTTTAATTATTAACTATAACAATTTATCAGAGTATACCTATTTATGTGTAAGGATCTAATAAAAAATCTGTTCAGACTGGATGTGATGACCCTTTGGACTAATTCAGCTTACAATCTTCTTGCTACACAGAATCACTTGGATCAAATTTAAATATTTTTTCTTTTTTAATTAGTTTGTAATAATTATCAATGTTTGAATATTTAAATCATTTTAAGAGCTAGTCTGAGGAAGCAGTAAGTTGTTCCATGACCTTAAATAATTAATGGAAACATAGAACTCTGGTCACCTATATCTTCAATTTGATGGATCTTCTCAAACTTTCAGAAAAAAAATGATGTTTCATATCATAACGTATTTGTGAAACAACCCCTCTTAAAACACATCTCTGAAATATATGTTCAAATAGAAATATCTGTGTTCACATAAAGTAATTTTATGCAACACACTATTGTAGCACACCTCCACTGTTAGTGTTCCATTATCAAAACCATAACATGCTGCTTGACCATAACATCCTTTACCACTCTGCATGTACAGGGTGTTCCAGAACTCATAATAATTTTATGAGCGAGATATAAGGCATGGATGATTTTTCTTCAAACTTACACTTATTTTACAGTCATTGAGGAATAACTGATATGAATTTCAGGCACATTAGCTTTCATATTTCTGAATTTACTGACATTTGAATTCTGCATCACCAGACACCCCGAAGTTCTCAGAAACACAACAATTAGGTTACATTTTTTCTCAACTATACAATATACAGCAATTTTTTATATTATATAAGATAAGACAAGCATTTCCTCATATTTATAAAGATTTATCAAGCACTTTGAGAAAGATGTAGAATTCAAATGTCAATAAATTTGGAAATATAAAAGTTATGTGCCTGATATTCATGTTAGCTACTCCTCAATGTATGTTTAATAAGTGCACCAAAGGACCACAAGTTGTTTGTAGAATGAATCGTGGGAGTTTTTCATGCATTTTGCTTATGTTTTTCATAAAAAAATCAGTATACTTGACATTATAATAAAGGAGAACCCCCGATAAGGAGAGCTTTTTAGAAGGACATTGCTTTTTTTATTCTGGATGTGATCATCATGGAAGTTTAACACTACATCAGAGATGATCTTAGATATTAGGTGATCTTAGATATTCCCAAAAACAACTTGTGTGATATAAAAATTGCTTTTTAAGAACATTTTTTGCAAGGCAATGAACTAGTTTTTAAGGTTAGACTCTTTATTTGTGGTTAAAATCCGTGTATGGCCTGATGGGATAGGAACAAAGTGTCACAGTTGTAAGACACCTATTTATCTGAACTCTTAGCAAATAGAAAGAAATCAATGGGCTTCCCTAGAAATATGTTTTTGAGACCTTTTCCATTCATGAGAATGACGGAATAATGGAACCAATTCGTAAAAAATTCTTAAAATATATTTCTGGTGGAGCGCCCATCGATTTCTTTACGAAAACTCAGACGTTGCTTCATTATGTTACTTAGCCACATTCTACTTTGCTCGTACAGTAATGGGAAAGTTATTGATTTTAAGCAAAATGTAACGGTTAAATATGGAAAATTGAATTTTATCGCTTCACAAAAACCGTTCTTCAAACGCACGTTTTAATAATTTGAAGAAAATATATCAGCATGTATAAATTCACCTCATTTCTAAAAGTATGTTAAAATTTCATGATGATCACTTCCAGAATAAAAAATAGTTGTGTCCTTCTAAAAAGCTCTCCTTATCGGGGGTTCTCCTTTGAACTTATGATATACCAAATTAAGCACAATTAAATTCCCCATCCACTGGTATATAATATGACATGTTTTTGTTATATCTTATTAAAATGAATTTCCCATATTTTGGTATATAACACGTGTGAAATCTTAAATACTTCTAAGAATGACACAAAGTGTCCCATTTTTGTTGCCTACCCTGTAGTTATTTAACCTTATGGGGCTACATCTGTAAAGCAAGCTAGTCCCTTATTAATGTCTGTATGAAGGTATACATTAGATAATATCCTTTTATTGAATTTCAGGTGATATTTGAAACTGAAGAATGGGAAAGAGTTCACATTGACTTTTTTAATAGTGACAACATGTATGCGTGCCAATTCAAGGATTGCCATAATTCAAGCTCGTTTGTTGCAAGATACAATATGGAAAAGGCTTCCCAAATCAAAGGGCAACTTGAGCCAAATATGTCAGAAAAAGACAAAGAGACCAATTTGGAAGAAAAAGCCATGAAAATCAAGTTGGGAAAGATTGCGTCACACTACATAGGCATACATACCATCTCACTTGGTCATTTAAAAGCCAGTGATATGGTCAGATCTTTAGATGATGCAAATGTCAGAGCCATCGCAAAGTCCTTTGAGATGAGTGTGACACAATGTGGAGATGTGCCAGCATTGACTGTGAATGTAGGAATACGTAATGCTGATGAATATGATACATCACTGCAGCACACAATAATAGATGGAAATCACCGTTTCGCAGCAGCAAAGGTGGCGGGAACACCATCTATGTTTCAGTGTAGGGTTTACTATAATCTATCCCCTGCATTGTCGATTCCACTGGGCATACAACAAAATGATAACAATATTAGAGCCAAGCCTATGTGTGATCTAGAGCTCATTGCTATTATAAGAAAAAGATTGGAGAGACAAGGGGATATACAACAAAAAGAAGTGGCAGCACCAGTACCAGAAACGTACACGGATATATATTCAGATCTCCTGGTGACAACAGTGAGTATACATTTTTGTTGATTAAAATTGATTGATTAAAAACCAATTTCAACTTTTGTTAAAAATTTTATTGAACTTTTCTTTGCTTTACAGAGTAGCAAATCCCAACAAGCAATTGCACTATATTCATAAATTGATATGTGTCACAAAGTAAAATCCATTATCAGCTCTACCCCTAATTTGTAAATATTAAATAAGCACCTTCACGCCCGTTGATCAGACAAAATGAACAGAGGGGGATCAGACCATTTTGATAGCAAATTCAACAAATCTTGAAGATTTATTATTTTAAGAAAAAGTTTACAATTGCATTGCAAAATGAATAGGCGCGGTATATAGGGAAATATGTAAGGTCTTATATGATTTTTTTAACCAATAGGCTTATAAGATATAAGATCTATTGAAAAAGGTGCAGCGTCACCATCATGCAATTGTCAATGTTTTTGTTACGCGGAATATGGCATACTCACCTGTGGTATGTGGCATATTCCGCAGGAGAGTATGGCATATTCCGCAGTGGATATGCGATACATTGATTTCAGTGAATACCTGATACTCACTCTCCTGTAGAATATGGCATACTCAGCGGCGGAATATGCCTTATACCGCAGGTGAAAGCGCGATACAGAAAGCCTTGATTTGATGAAAAGATTTAGTGAAAAGAATCGATTCTAAATGTAAAATTATGCTGGATTACCAATATTGTTAGCGCTTCGAGTACTTATATATGAATCTTGGATTGATTAAGTACATTTATTACAATACTGGTACCACTTTATTGTATAAGTTGATATTCATGTAATCATTGCACTGACCTGTTGATTCAGTAATCATTATGATAGTTTATAAACATTAGCCTGTTGGTTCAATCGATGAAATTGACAACTGCGTACTTCCGTATCACATTATCATTGGTTAGTGAGTATGCCATATATCGCAGGTGAATCTGTCATACAGCGCAAGTGAATATGCCATATTTGTTGCGGAATATGACATATATTTGTATCCTGTTTACCGCGTAACAGTTTTTGCTATAAATCAAGCATCAGGAGTCTTCACAACTTGTTAAAAATACTTGTAATTCATTATTATCACAAAATTAATGTCATTGCTTGCTTTGTAAAATATGTTACCATAATCATATGTTATATAAAAAATAATCAAAAATAATTAAAACTGAATGGAGGGTGATCAATATGTATACAAGACAAGACAATGTATATGTTACTTGACCAGCTATTTTCCTATAATTCTCCTCCAGTTCAATGGTGTTGTAGGAGAAATGGCGAAATTTGGAGTAATAGGAAAATAGGTCAAGTAACACATATAGATTCACCCATTGTTCAATTCCCCCCTCCGTTAAGTTTTAATTATTTGATTATTTTTTATATAACGTATGGTAGCATATTTTTCAAAACCAGCAATGACATTAATTTTGTGATGATAACGCCACTTACAAATATTCTTAACAAGTCGTGAAGACCCCTGTTGCTTGATTTATAGCAAAAACATTGACACTTGCATGTAGGTGACGCTGCACCTTTTTTAATAGATCTTATATGTTAGAAGCAAATTGGTTAAAAATCATAGAAGACCTTACATATTTTGTCCGATCACCGGGTGTGACCATTGGGGGGTATTAGGGGAACACTTCATAAAGATGAGCTCATGTAAAATAATGTAAGCATAATTTTAAGGGATCACTCAATTATAGCGAAATCCTACTGTGGGCAGCATTTTTGAAAGGACCACTGAAGGTATCGCAACAAATTTTAGACTGTCAATGTTGAATTTCGGCTATTTTCTTAGGATTTAAACAGGTGCATATGTTAGGCCAATGCATTAACTCCAGGGCAAGCCCTCATAGAGGTGATAAAATAATTTGGAAAGGTGCAAAGTTGCAAACACCCCACCATCATGTTTTTTCAGAAATGTTGTTCTGATTTTCGTCCCTTTTCACCCCTGTTTTTAATGTTTGATGCATCAATATGTTGCATTTTGAGACAAAGTTAACCTCTTAAAAAGGAAAAATTTACTCATTTAGGATAAGTGGAAAACAATATTTCCCATGTTATTTTCCTTAGGGAAAACTCATGGAATCTATTGTTTTCAGCTTAGTTTTGGTCACCCATAATTGATAGCATTAAAAATCCTGCATGAATCATATTTTCCTTTAAAGAGGTTAACCTTGTCTTAAAACGCAATACTTTTATACTTTTGGAACACCCTGTACCACATAACAGTGGCGTAAAGGACCGAAAATCAGGACAACATTTCAGGAAAAAACTTGATGGTGGGGTGTTCTAGCACATTCCCTGTGTCAAAGTCCAAATCATTTTATCATCTCTATCAGTAATTGTCCTCGAGTTATGGATTGGCCTAGCATATGCACCTGTTCAAATCATCAGAACATAGCCAAAATCCAACATATGACTGTCTGAAATCTGTTGCGATACCTTCCGTGGTCCTTTCTGTATTAGATATTTAATATGTGCAATCATGTGAATTGATATGATATCAATGATTATTTTAGAGAGCACAAAAAAAGAAGATCAGCCCAATTATGAATATTTCGAAGTTCAGCCAAAGATGTTGGGACATACTTAAACCTATATTCTCAAGAACAACCAAGGCCTCAAAATATAACTGCCTCTGTAATCTATCTGAGCATGATGTATTTGAGTGTCTCACAACATATAGAAATGAGGGCTACGACCACAATGTTTTGAAGGAAAAATGTTCAACATTCAAGATCAAGAGAACACCAAAAGAAAATATAAGAGAAAGGGTATGTGGGGTTCTGCACCATTTGTCCATTTAAGCCCCATAATAATTAATAAAAGGAATCATTTATTGAAAATATTATTATAAAAAATATTGTTATTAAAATTTGAGAATGTTATTATCAAAATACATGTATCAATTTTAAATATAAAAAATAAATATTTTCTAAAAATTGTAGCATACAGAGATGAAAATATCTGTTGTGGAAGGTGTCATGACGGCGCATATGGGGCAACACAATCTGAGGCCCCATTCAATTGTGTTTTCTATTGATGGCCTGTCAGCTAAATTAACTCCAGGGAAAATGAACAAAGATTTCATAGAGAAACTTAGTCAGCTGAATGAAAGTCAGGTAATTTACACATATGTTAGCATACATAGTTTATTTCTCTTGACATGCAATGTCAAGATCTAACAACATGTATACATGTCATAAAATACAGATAAATTGACTAGGGAATTCAGTAACCTTGTTGGAAGCAATTTAAATAATGCTTAAATTGAGCAAAGAATTTAATAATCATTTTGAAAGCAATTTAAGATTCTGTTTAAATTGTAAGATATTAGATCACAATTATAAGGATACTTAGGATACCATAAAAATTGCCATAAAACTGCAATCTTATCTATTATTGCAAGACATGTACAGATACTCATACATGAGCATCAATAGTCTATAGTAAAGAGTAAAAACCATTGAAAATATTTAACTTTGTATTTTATAGCAAAATAATTCTCATAGTAGAATTATTGGCACCAACAAAAATGACAACAAAGATAAACAAACAGTATCAACAAGTAAGTTTCAAAGGTTGTGCAACTTGATAGAGAAATTAACAAAGTTGAGTTCATTGTCAGGCCAGAAGTTCCCCTTCTTAAAACTAAATGGTTTTGGGCTTTAATTTCAAGGTTCCAAATAATTTAAGTTAAGAAAATTAATAATCAATGAAAGATTTCAATATACTTTTTAGTTTGAGTTTGGACAAACTGTTTTTTAATATTTGTATCTTTAGGAATGTTGCCTGATGTAAGTGATGCTGGTGGTTTTGAATCCAGTGATGATGCAGGAGTTATAACATACAATTCAACCACAAAAATAACCAAAAATGGTAAGTAAATTCACAATATTTCGTTTTATTAAATTTGTTGTTGTTGTTGTTTTATTAAATGATAACAACTTTTATTTAATTTTGATCTTTTTCACATTTTGTTATTTCGTTAGCCTATTAAAATGTATATGAAAAGTGTGCAGCAGTGTAAAAAGAGAAAACACTATCTAAAAATAAATAGAAACTAACAAAAATTAATATTGTATTTTTTATTATATTATAGACTATTATATCTTTATTATATTATATGTTAATATTATTTAAGCTATAATACATTGATATCCTCTTAATCTGATATTATTTTCTTCAAGGGAAGAGGAAGTTAATATATGTTAATATTATTTAAGCTATAATACATTGATATCCTCTTAATTAGATATTATTTTCTTCAAGGGAAGAGGAAGTTAAGCAGCTCTTCCAACCATGATGAAAATTCTCTCCCCATTGCTTGGAATCCCAAGCCTAAAAAAAGTAAGTAACCTCACGCTTTTGTGAAATGCCTTGATTTTTGAACTTTATAATTCACAGCCAAACAAACAAAGATGATCTATCATGTAATAATTACGTATGAAAGTAATAAACATAATTAGTATGTCAGCTGCATGTACATTCAGTTGTGATGAACTTATCTATATAATTCTATCAATTTTATTGAGGATTGTCTTTTTTATATTTAAATTAAAAATATCTCTTTTAGGGAAGGATGAAAACCCAGTCAAATGCTTACTATGTTCCAAGCAATGTGAAAGTGCTGCACTTCTTAGAGAACATTCAAAAATCCACACTGTTGGTGAGTTTCACATCGAAATATATTTAAAATTCGTTCTTAAATTGCTATATATTATTTTAACTGAAACTGTTATTATACTATTACTCCACTAGTGTTCCAAAGCAAAAGTTTATAGTTGCAATATTTAATGTACAATTCTTGAGCATCAGCCCTTAGCATAATAATGATTCAATTCTGAGCTTAGTTCAGAATAATGTCTGATTCTATCAGTTGTTACCAACATTTTGAAGAGGTCATACTGAATCTAAAACTTCCTGTTTAAAAAACCCTATTTTAACCAATTAGAATTGAATTGAAAAATACATGTCTTTGATATCCAATATGTTTTTTTGTTGTATTTTTGATATATTGTTATGATGTTAGAGGAGGGAAATAGGTTGGTTATGGTCCATTTCCTTATTTAGAGTCATACTCCTTACTGAAATCCTCATTTTCTTAAGACACTGGTTGATTAGCCTCAACGAATAGAAAAATATTTTACTTAGCATATCTAAAATAAGCCAAGGTGAACTTTAATAGGAGTTTTCACCCCGTTTCCAGCTTTTGGTACAATATACAATATGTTACGTTTCTTATGAGATCATTTAATATTAACACATTATTATTCTAGGGTTAAAAAGCCAGTATGAAGATTCTACTGATGGATATAAAGAAGATCAAGGTATTACAACAATATGATAATTATGCTTTCAAATGTAGATATAGAGGCGCTGTTATCCATTTACTTGTCTGTTAAGTTATAGTTCAAGTGAAGTCTATCCAAAATAATGCTTTGTAGATATTACGGCTCTGATTAAACATATCTCTGATGAATTTCAATGAATTTGTTTGTATATGCTGACATCTGAGAGGCACTGGAATATAAGGCCTGATTTCACGCTTTTTTCATGAAACAAACATAAAATCACTTTCTAGAAAACCCTTGGAAATCATGATTAATATTCATTGGAATAATATTAAGCGCATAATTGTATCTTATTCTGCAAGCTCAGGCCTCAATGAACACATGATAGGGCATCACATGAACTCATACAGGTGTATATTTTGCCAAAAGTAGATAGTACTGAAATTAATACATGTTGAAATTGATGATTTGATTTTGTTCAATGTGATTCAGTACTCGATAATTTTTTTCTAATTATTCAAAAAAAACATATGTCTTTCTATATTTGAAATTATATGAGAAGTATGTAAACATTTCATTTAGGTCATTCTTACAATTCTAAACTATTATTCTACTATAGTACTTTATGTTTTTGGCGCTTGGTTTTATGGTAAAGACTTCTCAAAATATATTCCTATTATTATGTAGTCTTGTTGAAAAGTATGGTGCACATTTGTCAAATTACATTTATCATTAGGAAATATTTCTAAATAGAGACATTATGAGAACTTTATGGTCAACCCTCTAAAATTCATAGTACACTAGCTAGGAACATACATTCTTTACTTAATAAAACTTTATTATAGATACATATGTGGGACTTGGATATGAACCAGATGCGCAAAGTAACAGTTCCTCCCCAGTCTTTCCATCATTCAGTGATGAAGTTTTATCCCCCTTTCCCTCAACATCTCAAAGCAGTAATGAAGACAATGTAGAATGTAAGTTATAATTACTTTATTACCTCTTACAATAGACAAAGAGGTTCAGTTTTGACCTGATAGTCACATTTAATAGACATTCAAAATTAACAATTATTGCTACATGAGTGTTTTGGATTTAACTGCCTCTTGTAACATCTGCAATTATCACATTCAATTTTCTCATTTAGGTATGAAGAGCAATGATCACGGGTATGGCTTTATTACAAAAAACACTCCAACACTACAACCTTCAAAAACAAAAGGTAATTAATTTTTCATTCAATACAAATAAGCAATACAACTTCAGTATGAATGAAATGTCCCTTGGTGTTCCGTTCTTTGATTGTGATATTGGTTCTCAATTGGAGGGGGAGGAAGAGGGGGTATTAGACATTATTTCTTCTCACGCTAGATTATGGTTTTGGGATAATTTAGGATATATCTGTTTCTAATGACAGATTTACATTGAGATTTTGCTTTATTGCTGAGATTCTAAACAGTTTCGGTCCTTCATCTCGCCATTTGTTGGTAAGTTATTTATCATTTGTGTACCATGATCTCAAAAGTGAATCAAAAGTGAATCAAAATGATATGTAATAATATAATATGGCATAACATTGCTGCACTAGTTCATTATGTTCCTTCCTTTTCTTTTTAAATGGTCATTACTATTATGTATTGTAACTAGATAACGGCAACTCCGCGGAGTAGCAAATCCCAACGAACAAAATATCAATTACCGAATTCCAATCAATTATACTCATTACTTTGGTTGAAAATGAAAAAATTAGATTTTAGAATTCCGAATTCCTGCAAAGCAGCCATTTTGAATTTTCTGAGGTACAAATCTGAAAAATAATACCATAATTGTGATCTACTCCAAAATTCCTTCAATTTGAGTATAATATAGCCATACTTTGAAGGGATCGAAAAATTATTGCGAAATCATACATTAGACGGCCATTTTGAATTTTACGAGGCTCGAATCAGAAAAAAGATACAATATTTGCAATCTACTCTTAATTGCCTTTCATTTGAGTATAATGAAGCTATACTTCAGAAAGATCTAAAAATTAGCGAAAATTTCTGTTTTCCTGTCCCCCCATACATGGCCCCTGGGGGTCAGGATGAAAAACACGGAATATATGTGAAATAGATAAATGTTGTGAATACACTACCAAAATTTCAAACACTAATATTAATTACTTTTGTTTAGAATGAAAAATTTATGATTTTTGCGAAAAAGTCCCGTCATTTTTAAAGCGGCGGCCATCTTGAAAAAAACTTGCGTAAAACTATTCACCAATTTACATCTTTCCACTAAATATGAAGAAAATCTGTCAACTAGTATTTGAGTTATCTTCCGGACAGACGGACGGACTGACTGACTGACGGACAGACGGACGGACGGAGGGCTTCACTATATCACGAACGAAGTTCGTTGGGATAACTATACCATACTCAGTCAATTATGTGTTTAAAATTAAATGAATTACAAGAAATAAATGTTTAAATAAATGGCGATGGATTATATAGTAGTGTTTTACTTTTTATCTGATGCTTTTAGGGCTCAAAAGACAACTTGATTATGCTTCCAATAAGCCTGGTAAAGATTGTAATAATCATGGGGAGATTGAGACTGGTACTATGGCAGACAAAAATGATCGAAGTAAGTCATCTATCATGAATCTTATCATGAATTATTAGCCTCAAATAGACTTCAACAAAAATATCATAATTCTCTCTCTTAATCTATCTAATACTTGAATATTAAATTCAATGTAGGTAGTACACATAAACAAAGATCCACCGATGACAGACCAGCACCAAGTGGTCCAACTACAACCAATGAGGCAAATTTAAGACAAGAAAAGAAAAAAGGTAAGACTATTAATTTCAAAAGATTATTATAATTAGACTCCAGATGCAATGAAACATATTTTCAAATGAATCCCTAAACGGTTTGGCTGGAAACCTGTAGACAAGCCTTGACAGACAAGATTTTAGGACGGAAAATCCAAAATGCCCGCCCTAACATTTACCCAGAATGCCGAAAAACTAATCAGTTCTGAACTTTCATAGGAAGAAACATCCCTGAGAATTTCAAATGAATCCCTCAAACGGTTTGGCTGGAAACCTGTAGACAAGCCTTGACAGACAAGATTTTCGGACGGAAAATCCAAAATGCCCACCTGAACATTTACCCAGAATGCCGAAAAACTAGTCAGTTCTAAACTTTCAAAGGTAGAAACATCCCTGAGAATTTCAAATGAATCCCAATAACGGTTTGGCTGGAAACCTGTAGACAAGATTATTCGGGACGCCCGCCCGCCTCCCTAACCGCCCGCCCAACCACCCGGCAAACTGATTACAATATAGCACCCTAGGGTGCGATAATAATTTATTAATTTTAAATTGGAATTCAAAACACAAATCGACTTATGGATATTTGTACATTGTTGTGAAAAATAATTCTGTTAGCATAAATATTTCATTTGTTCTCTATTCCAGAAATTGATACAGCATTTAAAGAAGTAAAAGACAAGCTTAGGGATATAAGTTATGGAAGGATTGCATACTGGAGACACAAAAAGTATTTGCGTGGACAAGCATCCAGTAAGTATTATGTGCTGTAACACTTTTTGACCAACCAACTAGAAAATATGCACTCTGTGGAGTAGCAAATCCCTCTGAACAAAATATACTTTATTAGACTCCATATTGAAAGGTAAAAGAGTTGATTTCTTAAGATGAGTTTTCGATCCAAATTTAGGCCAGGTTAATCTCAAAGGACCAGTCAGATCAAAATATGAAAATTGTCAAGGACAAAGCCCAAGGTCATGAAACTAGGTCATAAACTGTTTTATCTAAGTTTCTCAGAATTTGGAGCTACAAATTGATATCTTAGCTGATAGTCAGGGTATACATTCATTTAACACTTCTACACACATTAGCGTTGATTATCTTATAAGTTGACACCATATGACGATATTTCCATGTCGATTCATGGGTGCCAACATGAGTTTCAAAAAACAGATACGGATTCGACAAAGAAGATAAAGAACATCAAAACCATTCATTGATTCATAGTTGCACTAGTTGAATGATTTAAGAATATTACGCAAAGGTTTAGTCTTCAGCATATAATGTTCAATACTGTGACAGCATTGAGTAGGAACTTGTATAACCAATGTAAGAACCATTATATCATGAAATAAATTTTACAGGAATGGATCTAGTTCACGATGCTGCTAATTTATCAAAGGATTATAATGAAAGTGAAAAGGAATATGTCATGACTCTACTTCAAGCAGTCAAAGCACCAATGATAGAGCGAAACAAGGTGAATTATTTAAATATGCTCACTAAAGATGCTCACTCAATTCCAGTACATGGTGCATGCTTTATTACGATTTCCCCATGAAACAATTAATTCATTAGATTTTTCAAAGTGAATATACTGCTTTTATTACATTTATATTTGTATTATTCATGTTACACCTAAAAATGATTCATTCTGACCATAACTATGTTTGCCTATGGCAATATTTGCCTAAAATTGCACTTTGTCCTTTGATGACTTAAAAATGCAAACTTTTATTTAATAAATGGCAAGAAACTCCACTTTTGAAGAAATTAAAAGCTGACAACTTCTCTTCAATCAATAAGCTTTCATCAGTTCATGTCATTAAAATAATTAATGAAAAAAATGCATGGCTTTCCATTTTGCAATTGTGCATACATGTTAATATTTTGTGACACTTTTTGCTATACTTTGTTCTATTGACAGTTGATCTTGACATGAATAATGTATTGCTCTTGATTTTATCTACCCATTCTTCATATTTCAGCAAGATGACTATCGATTATTAGTACTGATGCCAGTAGTCATTGTACACATTGCTGCAGAAAAAGAGAAATGCGAAACAGGTACTTAAGCACTATTTGCATATTAATCCTACGATTACATTTGTCAGAAGCACTGTTATGACCTGTAACGTTGGCTACTCATGATAAAAGTTACTTTTTAACTGTGCGTGGCGTAAGTATATTGCATAATATGTAATTAGTTTTCCCCTTAGGTATCATAAAAAAGAACAATGAGCCCCTACATTGCAAATTACATGCTCACACATTTTCAACAAAAACAGCGCAATCAAAAACACATCCGAAGTTAAAGTAGACAAAACAGTTAAGGTCATTTTAAGTGCAAAGATCAATTTATCAGTATCAGGTCACTTTCTACTCAAGAGGTACTTTATTTTTTAATAAATAAACATTGTAAGTAAATTATTAATATTTCAGATGAAGATTCTGAAGGAGGAAAATTGAAAGCTGATGAGCAAAAATCCCCCCCTGAAGATATAAGTAAGTCATTGAAATATCCAGGATTTGTTGTATATAACTGACTACCAGTATACAAACATAATTGACTTTGTGTTGGAAATAATGATTCGTGATATCTTTACACAATGAATCTCTGGAATAATTTACAATAATTTTATGATATGCTCTAATATTTAAGCTTAAGACATAAAACAAAAACAATGATGCACTGAAAATTAATACTGCCCTTCATTCATTTTAAAGGAATGTGTATAATTTAATCTATACTGAATTTCCATGTTTCATTCCAGGTTTCATAATGTCTCCCACGCCAGATGATCTATGTATTGGACACTGGGTGGTGCTACCTGTAAAAGGGGAAGGCAATAGCATCCCCTGGATAGGAAAGATTATAAGAAAAGCAAAACACACTATAACATTTGAATGGGGTGATAAAGCCATGAATGACCAAACAAAATGGGTTGTAGGGTGCTCACAACCAAAAACCGCTTCAGTCAAAGTAAAAACCATACTTGCATCTTTTCCCTTTTCTAACTCTCAAAGCCCTTTTGCATTTCCTAAAAGAATTGAAAAATTAATGTATGAAATTTCAAATATTCCAAAACATAAATATTTATAATTATCACAAAAGCTTCCACAACCTCTTAAATTGTATAAATATAGAAAATAATATGGTTTTACTTTGATTGAAACTATTTTTGGTTGATATGCATTTTGTTTTTCCATGAACTTCTAAAGTGTGTAGTTAAGCTTAATGTGTTATGTCTGATATAAATGATTTAAGTCATAGACTCAGTTCATGATAGACTGAATCATAAAGGTGTTCTTGCAAACTGCACTAGCCACAAGTGCTCAGTTTAGGCAATAATGCCCGAGTTGAATGAATAAGCGACCATGCATTAAATACAGAGCTCCAATCCTTAACTCACACATACCACAATAAAAACATGAATCTACACATCAACCAAACCTCCCTCAAAAGAATATGCATACAATTTTTGCAAGGGCCAACACATCACTGTTGAAAACAATATCTCCTTGGTAACAAAGAATGAGATGATAAATGTCATGTAATACTCATGTAATACTTTTGATGGTTTTATGAAATCTCTGAAATCAGGCACCTTATATCTTAGTTAAATAGTGTCAGAATTCAGACACTATATTTCAGTTTAAGAGAATGTTGTCTGAATTCAGGCACCTTATATCTCAGTTTAGTGGTGTCTGAATTCAGACACTATAATTCAGTTACAGAAAATGTGGTCTGAATTCAGGCACCTTATATCTCAGTTCATTTAAGTGTCTGAATTCAGACACCATATTTCAGTTTAAGAGAATGTTGTCTGAATTCAGGCACCTTATATCTCAGTTTAGTGGTGTCAGAATTCAGACACTATATTTCAGTTTAAGAGAATGTTGTCTGAATTCAGGCACCTTATATCTCAGTTTAGTGGTGTCTGAATTCAGACACTATAATTCAGTTACAGAAAATGTTGTCTGAATTCAGGCACCTTATATCTCAGTTAAGTGGTGTCTGAATTCAGACACTATAATTCGGTTACAGAAAATGTGGTCTGAATTCAGGCACCTTATATCTCAGTTCATTTAAGTGTCTGAATTCAGACACCATATTTCAGTTTAAGAGAATGTTGTCTGAATTCAGGCACCTTATATCTCAGTTTAGTGGTGTCAGAATTCAGACACTATATTTCAGTTTAAGAGAATGTTGTCTGAATTCAGGCACCTTATATCTCAGTTTAGTGGTGTCTGAATTCAGACGCTATAATTCAGTTACAGAAAATGTGGTCTGAATTCAGGCACCTTATATCTCAGTTCATTTAAGTGTCTGAATTCAGACACCATATTTCAGTTTAAGAGAATGTTGTCTGAATTCAGGCACCTTATATCTCAGTTTAGTGGTGTCTGAATTCAGACACTATAATTCAGTTACAGAAAATGTGGTCTGAATTCAGGCACCTTACATCTCAGTTCATTTAAGTGTCTGAATTCAGACACCATATTTCAGTTTAAGACATACAGATGAAGATTTCTGCCTGAATTCAGACACATCATACATATCTGCAAAAAAGCATGTAAATCTGATGCTGATGCGTATACATACATGTAGATATAAGTACTTATAAATATAGTATATCTTTATTTTTATAATTTGGATTTTGTTTTTAATCTTTTCTCACGATAAACTTCTCTAATACTTCAAGAACATATTAATCGTCAAATATATTTCATAATTTTCTATATTGATAGTTCAAACATTTGTCACCTATGGAACTGCCAAAGTACACTGGAACCTGTTGTTGGTGGATGTTGTTTTTAACATGAATATTTGTGTCATAGTAAATATGAGCATAATCATGTCTTAACATGATATAAACATGTACATCTACAATATATATGTACAATTCATGTACATCTTACATATTCATCTGAATTACATGTTATCTACAAAACATGTACATCTACAATATATATGTACAATTCATGCACATTTTACATATTCCTCTGAATTACATGTTATCTACAATGCATATACATCTACAATACATCTACATCTACAATACATACATGTATGTTCATCTTCAATACCTGTATATCTGCAGTACATGTATATCTACAAAATATGTACATTTGTACATCTACAATAAACATGTACATCTGCAGCATATCTACATCAAGTCATCAACAGAATATGTACAATACTGTAATGTATATGTACAATTCATACCTACATCTGCAATACCTGCATATCTGCAATACATGTTTATCTACAAAATATGTACATCTACAATAAACATGTACATCTGCAGCATATCTACATCAACAGAATATGTACAATACTGTACATGTATATGTACAATACATGTTTATGTACAATGCATGTATATCTGCAATGCATCTACAATATCTAGAATACATGTACATATGTGAGACATACAGATCAGCAATAAATGTACATCTACATGTACAGGATGCTCATCTGTGATACATACAGATCAACAATGCAATACATGTACAATGTACATCTACAATACATACATATATACATCTACAATAATAATTGTCTCATTTTATGCACTTTTATTTTAAACGACAATTTTATGCACAGCTTATTGTATTGCACTGAGTTTATACTATATTGTTATTTTTATTTATTAATTTTATAATTTATATTATGATATGACATTATTCAAGAAAATTTAACTTTTAATCACATAATACTGGTAATTTAAGACTTCATTAACTGATTAATCTGAAATCATTTTAAACCGATACCAGTTACAGCAACTGTTAAAAACATGTGTAAAATTAATGTAAATATCATCAAAAATACATTGCAACCTTAACTATTCATTGATATACAAAAATTTTTTTTTTAGATAACTGCTATATATAATGAATTGGAGGACCGTTTACGTCATGAGATCCTGGCACGACTGGAGAAGACAAAAGCTGGGGAGACTACAGATCTGTCAAGCATCAACCTGGAAGAGATTGACCTCATGGACGCAGACTTCTCTTCTGATCTTGAGTCAAGGTATATGTGACGATTTTTTGACAAAACAATTTCAATTATCATTAATTAAATCCTTAATTAGCATAAATACTTATGTTTCACCAGATGTTTCATTATACTTTTGCCAATCTATCACGAACCATTTATGCATGTATCAAATAACATTATTCATCATATACTTTACACTTTTATGCATGCAGTAATTTAATGTTGTAAAATGTATTTACAGCAGCATTATCGCTCATAGTTGACATTACAATAACATTTTGATCTGTTTGTTTCAGTACTGGAGGCTCAGACAGCTCTGTATCAGATGGTCTCCCTGTACATCTGCAGTATTTAGCAGACAAGGTAAGCTCTGCCCAAAATCTCCATCAGCTAGTGACACCACCCTTTGTTTATTTCAAATGATGCTGAAATCTCAATGATCTCAAATGAAGCTTCTATCCTACAATAAGCACTCAATTAGTTTCTAAATTGCTAGATATGTAGTTTTTGACAAAAATGGAAAGCACATACCTTATTAAGAGAGAGGTACTATATGAACTATTAGAATGTATAATATATTTGGAATTTTGTAATCAGAACATACTCATTTTTTTAAAGAGAATTGAGTATTAAAGCTGTTATATTTTTTATTCAATACATAGTCTTCTGCTAAACGACATATTAGAAAGGTTTTTAAAATATAAATTATGCACTTTGCCATACCTGTATTTTTAGTTTCCCAAGAAGAAAAAGCTGCGCAGTAAGAAAGATCGAGACAAACAGCGCAAGAAACTGTCTGCAGCACCAGGTGGAGAAGAGATGGGGGATAAGAAACCAAGTAGCGCTCAACCTCAATCCTCCACAAAACAAAGGGTGAGTCTACTCCACACATCTTTACAGTATTTCTGTAAATTTCAGTAGACATTCAACTATTTTTAATAATGAGAATGGTAGACAGTAGGAATACCCGTTTTGATACTAGAGCTTATAGCATCCTTTGCATGTTATACATTGTAGCAAGAAAATATATATTTGAAAATGTGAATGTTTTCACCAGGAATGAATTATTTGTTAAAAAATATTCATTATGATTTTCAAAATTCCCAACGCAGTGAAAGTGTGTATTTTCGACTGTGTGTTGGGTACTTCTCAAGCTTTACTTCAGGGGTCAGCTTTATCACTGGGAAGGTCACTGATTTTTGTAATTTCATGGATATTTCACCAAGTATTGATTCTCATTAGTATGTTGTATTTTTTACATTATGTTACAGCCTGTAGCTACAAAATCTCAGAAAACCAAATCCTCTCACAAATTAAGTATTTTACCCATCATTTTCCGTGCTTCTCGTCAGGTAATCATTGTCTCGTGATGAATGTTGTCAAAGTATGATCTTGCAAAAAGACCTGTGGCCTGTTTTTGAAATGAATATAACTAAAAATAAAAAATTACTAGGGCATTGGCAAGGGCCTCCAGGCCATCTACATGCAAGAAAATGCTGGGTAGCATTTGCGAATTCAACTGCCGGCTGACAGATTAACTTACTATTTTATGACCAATTCACTTATATATGAATAGTACCTATCACTATTCCATTCATATTTAAATGGTTTGGCCATAAAAAGTGTGTTAAACTGTTAGCCAGCAGTTGAATTCAAGAATGCTACCTTAGACTAAAACAGTAGAAAGAGCATCTAGTGATTTTACAAATGACACGTCAATGTTTGAACTTGCAACATGCTTTACATGTGAGCACTGATTTTGAAAACACATTATAGAATGAAGGTATAAGATTAGGCTCTTTTGGCAAGCTGACATCTGCACACCAAAAAGATGTGGTTTTTGTAGCCTTTTAAATGATAAGATATTAATCTATGGGTTAATACTTTAAGTAATCTGTCAGCATGCCTGGGAAATACTGGTTCTCCATTTCTGATATATCTATATCCACTATAGATAGAACTATATAATAAAGTATTCTATTAACAGAACTATGTAATATTGCATGGTACATACAAGCATGTATCTAACTTGTATAGTTCATTATTTTAATCTGAGGTAATGGTGATTTAAACTGTACAGTTTTAATTTTAAATGGCACTTTTACACTAATTTGCACTAATATGCACTTAATTGTTACTATATTAAATTACCATGAGTGTATGTTTGATATAATTATCTCCTAAAGTGCATGCGTGTTATACAAGGAGATAATTCAATACTCTGATTCTACTCAATGTCGCATGTACATACAGAAACTGAATTAATAAAGAACAGCACATTCAAATGAGGTGCATTCTTCTGGAATTTTACATTTTTGGTGAATGCAGCTCAAATTATTAATCTGTGGCAGATCAGGCTGAGGTGGAGGTCTTCTTCACAGGTGGAGGCTGGTTGATGTGTGTTTATATTGGATAATACATGCACCCTTTGTAATATCATACTGCTCAATATCCTTATACATATTGTCCCTCTGAGCTATGATATCACCAATCATACTACTTTATTACGAGGTCTGAGTTGTAGCTTTGATTTACATAAGCAGTGGATTTGCGCTTATTTCTGGTTTAAATTTATTCAGTTAGCATACAAGTACATGTAAAGCCCCGAAAATATGTTAGTGCAAAGAAATTGGGGATATCCTCAATATTAAGATACTTTGAGTTGTTGAATAAATCTGAAAAAGAAATATCAATATAGTTTACCCTTGTTATGGACTATTTATTAATACTAACAGTAAATTTGGAAATGTTTCAGTCAATTAAGCCCAGTGCTACAAGTGCAACAAAAATATCATACACAAACAACAAGAAAGAACAGGAGGTATTTTTACAGGACACTACATCTAAAGGCTCAATGATTTTAATCCAAATCAATTTGCTTCAGTACTCGTATAGGTGGCAGGTCATACTGAGCCTAGTTGTTTGGAAATTCCCAGGCCTGTAGCCAGGATTTGCCAAGGGGGGGTTCAGTTTTCAAAAATTTCCAGGGGGGGTTCACATTTGACAATTTTGGCCCAAATATGGCTAAAATCACTTGAAAAGTGCTCAAAATGGTGAAAACTGCATGATTTTGAAAGAATTTTTGGCCAGGGGGGGGGGGTTCGTCCGAACCCTGAGAACCCCCCTGGCTACGGGCCTGAGTTCCTGTTGTATTAGATAACAATGCATGGCATATGTATTGCTTCACTTAACTTGATACACAACAATTTTATAAAAACAATCCATAATTATGTCATTTTTATTTGAAGAAAGAATCAATTTATGAAGTCACTCTCATCTCTCAATGCAATGATCTTAGATGCTTTTGAAGCAATAGAAATTGTTTACTACATGTTATCAATGAGAATTAACCCCATTCAACTCTGTCATCAATGTTTCTTATATGACATCATGGGTATGTATGAACCCTTGACCAATCATTGACCAATGATGCTCTTTACAATGGGCTTATTAAAGATTTGGATTAAAATCATATTGCTGAAAACTATTTGTAAGATCCTGTTCTAACTTGCTTAATCTCTACCTGAGTGGAATCTCTTGGTGATGGTTGACTTTTTAATCAAATTCATTCAATTGATAAAATATGACTTTTGCGAGGCTCATTGTTATATTTTAACAATTGAAATTGTGAAACTGCTTTTTTCAGAGGTTTACCTTGAAGGTTTGATATGATCTTAGATTAGATTCCCTACCCTCTTAATTTAGGCTTATTCTAGGTGTTTGATTAAGGATTATAGCAATGCTTATACAATATTTAAGATGATGATGCTTACCATTATTGTATATGCAGTTAGTATACCTTTAATGGAAGTATATATATTCCTTTTTATTTGTTAATCTTTTCTATGCATATCATGGTTTTTATATGTCTGTATTAAAAGTTTCATCTTGAATATTCTTTAGCTTTTCTTTTACCCGTCCTATCCAAGAATAGCTAGGACCTATAAGTATTCAGCTTACTACTTCCATCTCTGTGATCATCTTTGTGTAGCAGTATTCATAACATTTGGTAGAACTTGTAGCCGGGACTTCTATAGCATTTGATATCCCTCTTAGTTTAACTTATATCTTTATGATATACATGTATCTATGATCATCTTTATGTAACAGTATTCATAACATTTGGTAGAACTTCTATAACATTTGATATCCCTCTTAGTTTATGTGGTAACTTATATCTTCATGATATATCTATGATCATCTTTGTGTAACAGTATTCATAACATTTGGTAGAACTTCTATAGCATTTGATATCCCTCTTAGTTTATGTGGTAACTTATATCTTCATGATATATCTATGATCATCTTTGTGTAACAGTATTCATAACATTTGGTAGAACTTCTATAGCATTTGATATCCCTCTTAGTTTATGTGGTAACTTATATCTTCATGATATATCTATGATCATCTTTGTGTAACAGTATTCATAACATTTGGTAGAACTTCTATAGCATTTGATATCCCTCTTAGTTTATGTGGTAACTTATATCTTCATGATATATCTATGATCATCTTTGTGTAACAGAATTCATAACATTTGATAGAACTTCTATAACATTTGATATGCCTGTTAGTTTATGTGGTAACTTGTATCTTCATGATATATCTATGATCATCTTTGTGTAACAGTATTCATAACATTTGGTAGAACTTGTATCCAGGACTTGTTTAGCGTTTGATATCCCTCTTAGTTTATGCGGTAACTTATATCTTTATGATATCTCTATGATCATCTTTGTGTAACAGTATTCATAACATTTGGTAGAACTTGTATCCAGGACTTGTTTAGCATTTGTTATCCCTCTTAGTTTATGCAGTAACTTATATCTTTATGATATCTCTATGATCATCTTTGTGTAACAGTATTCATAACATTTGGTAGAACTTCTATAGCATTTGATATCCCTCTTAGTTTATGTGGTAACTTATATCTTTATGATATATCTATGATCATCTTTGTGTTACAGTATTCATAACATTTTGTAGAACTTCTATAGCATTTGATATCCCTCTTAGTTTATGCAGTAATTGATATCTTTGAATCAAAATACAAAATATGAGTCTTACATGTACCTTGATAAACCACATACATAAATTTTAAATATCACATTTTTAATTTTTGCATTTATTTCATTTTTGAATTATGGTGAATTGTTGGATAATGTAACAGATTTTATTGACATTCATGAAATGTTTCAATTTAAATCTTGAAATGCACCTAATGAAATACATATCAATTATCAAATGCACAAAATAAAGCTTGCTTTGATTAATGAATGATTCACAATTGACTTTTGCTGTTTTATTTAGTTTTGCATGCTTATGATTTAGGTTTGCTTGGTTTGCATGTTAAATGTGTTTTACAGCTTCCTATTATATCTGAACCTAGCACAGTGCAAACTGATCTCAGTAATCCTGAGGAGGAGGTATTTTCACATTTTATTTCACATATTTATGCTTCACATATTATTATGCTTCACATATTTATGTTTCACATTTTATTATGCTTCACATATTTATGTTTCACATATTTCATTGAGTTATACCATCAATTTTCACATTTCTTGTTTCACATAAGTACTCACATACATTTAGAATCAGTTGTTTTGTTTTATTCAGATATATGCAAAACTGCAGACTGACTGATTCATACACATTTGTTTTCTGTGATTTTTAGCGTATTGTTTGACATTAAAATAATTTGTGAGAATTTTTGTTGAAAAGCTTAATCATTTGTTTCTCTAACTTTTTTGTATTTGATGTATTCAATCCATGTTTTTAATGTTTATGAAGATAATGATCGTGTTTCAATTAAGATTTGACATTGACACAACACATACCCTCACCCATCTGAATCTGATTACATAATCATACTAAATGAAAAGTACAACATGTTCTATATTGATCCTATATGTTAAACAGGTCCAGAAGTCAGTGTCATCAGCAGGTAGGATGAAGCCCAAGGGAGGGGCCACAGGGGTTGGAATGCCGATGTTTGTGCAGCAGAGAATGGAAAAGAGAGAGGCTGAAAAGGTAAACCCCAAAAACAATGATTAGGAATGGAAATTTGTTATGTTACCACCAGAACTGGTGACATATTGTTATTAGTCTCCAACTCCAACTTTGTAAACAGTGTTTGGCTGTAACAAATGGTGGTCAGTATCTGTAACAAATGGCGGGTGGTGAAATTTTGCATGTCAATGTTGATAAATTATGCGTACATGTCACCATAACTACTAACTATCTGAGATTCAGATTTATTCAAAAGTCAGGAATTAACTGTTGCTTACCTGTTGCTTACAAAAATACAAATGATTGGATATAGCAAAAAATCACTACATTTCTCAGGAATGACTGTTTCAAAAATCATGCACGATACTATATTATTCATTTATCAATTTATTTATTTGTAAGATTCAAGCTTATCTTGTGTGGGGTGTTTTATATAATTTATGTTAAGCTTATTTTTAGTCACCAAATTACAATACTACAAAATTACATGTAGGATTACATGTATATTGTCATACTTTTTTAGCAGAGTGACTATCTTGAGTCATTGACAAGTGCCTTTCTCAGGAGCGGACTGTTGTTGAGTGATCCTCAGAAAGGTATGTAATTAAACTTGATGGAATTATAATTTTTAATCATTCCGGGTATTATGCAATTATTACCGTTTTTGACATGTCCTTATTTATACTGATGATATTAATAAAGATTTGTAAACCATCGTACTCGCATATTTGAAAACGAATGTGTTCATATTTATTGCACAAAATCACAAACTTTTAATTGCATGCTTTTACATTTAGAGTTAGCTAAAACTTGATGCACTATGAATATGAATTTATCACCGATTACCAAAGATACACATGTTTTTTTTAATACTATGTATGTATATCATATCTGCATGTTTGATTTAAACACTTAACTCAGTGATGATGTTGTTGATTTATTTTTATTTGATTAAAAGCACATTTTCAACTTTTGAAAATCACTATTAACTTAAAGTTTCAAATAATTATGCACTGGTTCAAACCCTAAACTACAATTTAAGTATTTAGCATCTTCTCAGTGTATTCATTAATATAATAGTATTCTACATTCGTCCAAATATACAATGTATGTTGTTGTATAGTATGATTCTGTTTAGTTCATAGTTCAAGAAAGGTGTGGCATTGACCTATTTAAAAGGACAAAGAATTGATAGAAGTAAACAAGGTTGAGTGAGTAAAATGGTGCATTTTTATGTTCATTTGTGTAATGTCAGCATCACTTTGAAAACTATTCACTGCAAAATTTGTACATGTAAGCTAATCCATTAATTTGCATTATGTCATGTTGCTTGGGTGAAACCAGTGCATATACATTTGATCGATATTTAAAAAAGTACATAACTTGCTGTACATACCCGTATACCTCTGAGTTAGTGTTTAACTGTTATACTTTTTGCACTTTTTCACACATTTTATATTTCATCCACCATCACACACAGCCGTTCCACATTTTCGATACTCAAATACCTTCCAAGCCAATGGAGTCAGATCAACACCAGCTTTCCCAGTGGATGTTGGCACCCTCTGTCCAAATCACGCAAAAACATTTGCAGCTAAATATATGGCGAATCATCTTAGAAATGCTATTGTATTCAATGAAAAGCTACAAGAAATATCAGGTATTATTTTAGGTTATATAAAAATCAACCTTTTCTCTAAAAATATTGCAGTTTTCTGTATGCTCGCTGTATGTATCTACTATCTTCCTCTTGTATATTTGACTTTGCACCTAGCACATAATCATATATGATTTGTAGATGTTTGTTGGACAGTAATTACATGTATAAAGTCACCATATCTAAAATGTGCTATGCTTATAGCATGTGTATTTAACAATTTAGTTTTATTATGTCACTACCAAAAAGTGGTGACATATTGTTATGGTATTCATTTTTTGGACGGCGGCAGGCGATCGGCATCTGTAACAGATTCTTACAACTAACAATAACTTAACAAATACTGTTTAGACTGACTTCAATTTTTTCAAAATCATATATATGTTTTAAGAAGTTCAAATCTGACTATATATTTAAGATTTGACCTTCAATGACCTTTTCAAAGTCAAAAAAGGTCAAAAAGGTCTTTCTTAAACTTGCTTCAAATTGACCAATTTTCTTTCAAAATCATCTACAAGTTAACAGAAGTTTAAATGTGACTTTAGATTTGAGATTTGACCTTCAATGGCCTTCTCAATGTCAAAATGGTCTTTTTTCAACTTGCTTCAAATTGACCAATTGTTTTCACAATCATCCACAAGTTCTCAACAGTTCAAATCTTACTATAGTTTGACCTTCAATGGCGTTCTCAGAGTCAAAAAAGTCTTTTTTCCTACTTGCTTCAAATTGACCAATTTATTTTTTCAAAATCATCTACAAGTTCTCATAAATTCGAATCTAACTTTAGATTGAACTCATAATATTGTGAGCAACTAGGTGGTGACATTTTGTCATGTTAATGCCTTGTTAATAGTTTTTCATAATAATCATTATTACATGTATTAGTCATTTAACTATAAAATGTGTATATGTGTACGGCTGTCAAATACTCAGTCTAATTAGTTAGATTTTGTAGTTTAAAGTAGAAAGATAATGCTCAGGCTTTTAGAAGGACATTCCTTTTCCTTTGATCCATTGTTTAGACTATAGATGTACACTGTGAGGCTCCTGCAGTTTAATTCTCTGTTTAGCAGCTTTTGAGATCAGACAATGTTATACTGTTTTCCTTTAAAATGATAAAGTAAACATGCAAAAATGAAAGAAAAATCAGAATAAAAGAGAAAAAAGTTTGATCTGTTACAGATGCTGCTAAACAGACTTTTAGTTGTAGGGGCCAATACCTCTAATATAAAGTATAACCTTAAATCCCAAAGTATGTGTAGCTTTGGCTCTTTAATGATTCTTTTACTATCATTGATCATCTGATAGGTAAAGGAATCATTGATGGGTGATATGCGATATAACACATCTTTATGTAATATGCATGCTTATGATATAACAAAGTACATATATCAAGAGGTGTTTTGTGTTCCAAGGCCAAGTGACATGGGGTGCCAAAATGTCATTCAGGATTGGCAAAAAATGTTACCCTCATTAAAGAAGTTGAACCCTTATTATAAAAGTTGGATAATATTTGTGGCCCACCCTGTATTATGGGTTTGTTTGGTGAAATAGTGATTAGAATGAAAAATCACTCAAGATGAGTTCCTGACCAATCCCACTAGACAATCAACCATTGACTCATTTTCAGTTTAGGCTGGGGAAATTTTCAGGTCAACCCTGACCTGAGGTCACTTGAAAATATGGTTGCCCATCATACCTCTTGAATATTTCTTGCATGCTACACCTGTACACTTGCATGACATTTGCTTTAACATTAGGCCTTCCTGTAAGTGTTAACTGGCAATGTTTCCCTGCTCCCGGTGGTGGACAACGTGGTAGAAATGTGACACTTTCTTCAATCGACAAACTGAACAAGGAGGTCCTTGTATCCAAATTGGTTGAACTCACTAGAGGTCAGCACTAACAAATTACCCATAATGCTTTTTAACATGCAGATAGAACTTGTTTATAGAAATGCTTAACCTATTTGAGACATTTTAAGTAATGGTCTCAGTCAGCATGAAATAGTGATGCGTAGATAATTAGATAATATTCCAACACCTTTCATTTTCTTTTCTTTCAACTTTCATAAACATTTCTGTTATTGAGATGCATAATGTAACATGATTTACATATGTGCATAGATATTTGATAGAGTATAGTGTCATAAAACAAAATTAAATGGGATTATAGCAACTGACCCACAAACGGTTTATGCTGAAACTGATTTTGTTTTATAAATGTCATCAAAGTAGATTCCTTCTCAACTTTTTGATCTTTAGTTATCTTAAAATGGAATATGACTCTTTTGGTATTTTTCATCCAACATTTTATTTTTTACAATACAGAAGATGAACCAACCCCCGATCTTCCAAGGTATCGCTACAGTGGGCGCAACTTGGCCGATTCTGTACCTATGACACCACCTATGCCATCTAGTCAATTGCCACGCCACCTTGTGGAAGGACCAGATACTACATCAAATTACCCTAGGCCAGAAGTACCTGCATCAGAAACTGATTTACAAGATGTAATCATTTGTGAATTTTGAACCATTATTGTCTGATGTATAAAAGAATTCTAGACAAATTGATCGAATCCATGTACTGTTTTGACCAAAAAGTCCAAAAACATGATTTTCCACGATAAAATGGCTGCCATTTTTCATGTGCTACTTATTGACCAATCAAAAACTTTGTTATACATTTTAGAAGTGAAACCTCACTTGCAATATTGTCTTTCAATTTTTGATATGTGTACTTGTTTATTTCTAGCCTATCATTGACAAAGACAAACAAGTCAGACAACACCCACTCCCATTTGATCAAACTCTAGAACGTGATAGACCACATGATTATGTGAAACGGGCAGATGTTAATATCAACAACAATAACCTGAACAGTCTTGATAAAAATGAAACTGCTAGTGCCAACAATAATGATAATGTAGGACCACAAGTTCGTACATTGAAAGGTGGACAACGTGCAAATTCTGCCACCTCTAGTGCCAGGAGCAAAAGTCCCAAGGCAATTTAGCTCTATATATTTCTTTTATTGAGTTTATAAACATAAAAAAACATTTATTTTAGAAATATACAAAAAATTATAATTCATACTTTTGTTAATACTGTATCTTTAGCTTAAGCCTATGGACATTTTTGTGCCAATAAGAGCGTAGAATATTTAACACTTTAGGGTGTTTGATGTTCATTTGACAGTAAAAATAAAGAATAAGATATGAAATTTATCCCTACTAAATCATCTCCCAGTTCATACATGTACACAATGTATAGCCAAAGCTTATGCATTAACTGTTACAGTAATGCTAATGTTAATTTGAAATAATATATTTTCAGGGTAGTAAAAGTGTTGAAAGTCTTGGTGCCTTAGTTGAGACTGAACGAGGGCCAACTCTAGGTACAACTCTTCACACACAAAGAAAAGTCAACTTTGAGCCAGACATCCATGACAATATACCACAACTGCGTCAAAAACATGAAACGTTCCTGCCTAGGTCTTCCAGTACAAACAGCATGCATAGCATGGCATCTAAACGGACCCATAACTGGCCACAAATAGACAACTATGAAAATACTAATAAAACACAAAGTGCAAAGACCTCACGGTCAAATAAACCACAACTGTTTGCTCAGGATAATTTAGTATATGCTCCAAACAATAGCGTATTCGCACAGTCCAATCCACAGCATATGTATGTAGGGAAGAATTCTCAGGTGTATGCACAGCAAAATTCTCAAATGTTTGCACAGCAGAATCCACTTGTATATTCCCCAAATAGACAAGGAATGAAAATGAGACATTCAGTACCAGCAGGTTCATCAGCCCAGCAGAAAGCCCCACAAGTCAGGTACATATTCATTAAAACAAACAAAGATGGCTTAATAAGCGCTACATGGTCCAGTATTTCATTGATGTATTTTCACTCATTTGAATGTTGTTAGTTAAATGAATGCTTGAAAGCATCAACGATTTTAATTCCTTACAAGCTAACTTGAAATTGCTTTGTTACCAAACTTACCGTGTCTCAATGTCCTGCAGCACATTTTTAACTCACAAGTCATTAACTAAAATTAATTTGTATCAACACTATAGAATGTTAAACTACTGAAACTGTCCCTACTAGAGCCAGTTGGTTGTTCCCATTGGTTTAATGGCTGGTCTTACTGAAGGCATAAGGCCCGATCTGTTTGATGAAAAATCTGGTTCCTACATTATCACTAGTTTTATTTTATTTGTAACTTGTTTTTTAGGATTCTTGACAGAATGGTACAGCAAGTTGGTGAGGAAGTGGACACCTTAACTGCAGAACTCAATCAACAAGTTGAGGTAGCATATATAAATATTATATATAAATATTTATACCACTCTAAGTCCGATTACAGTTGTATAACATGGGTCTATAACAACGATATACAGTGGAGAGTGGTATATCATCATCGTATACAACTCCTCCATATACACTCCAGCGTATACCACTGTAGAAGTGCATTCTGGGAACTAATGAATATTGACCGAAGAACGAGGTGTATGTTTTGTTACACATGATTTCCTAGAATCAAGTGACGTCATAAATGGTTCCCACATGATTTGCTAGAATCAAGTGACGTCATAAGTGGATCGAGATCAACATCGGCATTACTGAGTTGGCTATGGGATATTTTTATGGTTTTTATAATTGTTATGATTGTGTTTGAATCAACTGTAATTGAACTTAGAGTGGCATAATAAGATTATATAATGGTTCATTCTGTATATCGTGCATTTTATACTCTCGTGAGAATATAATATATTCACTCGTTCGCTACGCTCACTTGTGAATTCTGTATATTATATACTCACTCGAGTATAAACGATATACAGAATGAACCATTATATAACCTCATAATATATCGTATAAATATTAATGAAATATATGAAATGTAGATCACACCCATAATGATTTTGGTCGAATATTTATTTATAGTTAGTTAACATAGGAACTAAAACAAAGTTATAACATTTTTAATCTTTTAGGTTTGATATACATGTAGTTATTTTCTCTAGTGCTAGTGCACGTGAGGAAAGGTCTACAATAAATTCAATTACTCCACAATTGTAATCTTTCATGTTCGTTAATTTAACAGTGTCACAGCATTTTACTCAGTCATTTACATTCAAAATGATTCTATTTCCAGCGAGAGAGAATGAGATCAACCCAGAATGCACCAAACAGACCAGCGCAACCTTTTCAGCGCCAAACCCTTGAAAAATATGCCAATAATAATTTGCCCATAGAGATCTATGGAAATAAGGTTATAAACCAAGGACAATATGAGGTGGAAGAGAACACCTTGTCACCTCCCATTCTTGCTGAAGTGTCTGATATGCAACAAGCATCTAGACCTTTTAGCAATACTCGGAAGGAATCTGGTATTTATTTGTTTTATTATCATTTGACTGGTTATTGTTTATGGATAATGTTATAAGAAAGACCAACTGACTTATCACAAGTAGTAAATGAAAGATGGATAAAAAATAGTTTTTGATATTTAGAAGTGCTATAATTATATTAATAATGAGATTAATGAGATCGCTTATCATCCAACCCATGATATAACATGTATTCGTTCTCCATTTTTAGGAATTTTTCAACTTTTTAATGCATAGTTATTATTTATTTAAAAACTTTTTTGTTTCAGCAAAACCTCCTGCAAGAATATCATTGGTGATGAATAATGGCCATAAAGCTAAAACTAAAGTCAGTCACAGACCACCAGCCAGGCCAGTGCTTATGAGGAGTGCTAATGGCAAGAGGCAGCATTAGTAGTGAACAGTACAGATAGTCCTTTTATACTAGCATATATAATGGTGTTTAGTGATGGGAGTTAGATCTCGAGTCAGTTACATACTACCAACTACTGACCAGTGCTTACGAGGAGTACCTATTGAAACAGGTAGCATCAATGGTGATTAGACGAGTACATGTAATACATGTAGTAAGGTCCAATAAGAAGAGGTTTTGCATCTATAGTAAATTGTATTAGACCTTGATTAGACCTTGTAATATCAGTTGATATGGACATAAAGCAAGGGTGAAAGATACAAACAGAGGTACACTAGTCAGTTGCTATTTTCGACTAAAACTATCTTCAATATGGCTACAATGGTCATTATTAATAGAACAATATATAAAATGCTATTGTTGCTGTTAAATCTGTTGTCACTATTTTAGATGATAAAAGTGGCGAAATATTGATTAAATAAATATTGTGTCCTTTAGGGATACTGTTTCATTGATCTCATGTGGATACATGTATTCTTCAGGTACTAACCCCAGTCGAGGGAAATGTCAATGCAAACTTATGATAACACATCTAGTAATAAGAAGTCACATAGGCCCTTTCGTAGGGGGTCAACATTATTTTAATTTGCCTTGAAACAGTAAAATTGAGAATGGCAAAAAACCAGGGAATGGTTGAGAAAAGTCAGGGATTTTTGGCCTAGGAGTTATTTGTATACTGTATAATGTGCATACTGTACTTAAAGAATGTCTATTTAATGCATACGTAACTAGATGCTATATATATATTAGTACTCATACTTAGTGTTTTCATAAACTGTTTATCTAGAAAAGATCTGTGTAAAAATGTAATTACAGCAACCCATTTACTGTTGCTGTTACATTTAGTTTTAACAGTGTATATAGTTTGAAGTAGCCAAACATATACCGTTCATGTATATAAAAAATGTAGGCATATGTAAGAAATTATTTAAATGAAAGTCTTGATTAAATGCTTGATTATTTTACCGAAAAGAAATGTTAATGCCATATTCAAGAAATAAATTATATAAATTAAAGATATATTTATTGTTGAAAAGACTATTGGCATGAACAATATATGTGTGGAACGATATTCTAAAGTTTTATTGATGCCTCCGGGTGTGTATCAGTCATAGACATCAAAAAGTAAGTACTTCCACTTTTCCACAACTTTAACAATTGAACGACATTCATTTGGCGGAGGTTTCAATAAATAGCGACCATCTTGCAAAAAATTTCTTCTCGAGCTCCAGAGCTCCTTTATCTCTAGGCGTCCGTATATAAAATTTGAACTTAATCCATCTACTGGTATTCTGGTATTTGAATTAACAAAAATTGCCTTTTCATGAAAAATGGTGGCCATTTTGAAATTCAGCTGATGCCTTTGAAATTTCTTCTGAAGCAGATCTACTTTGTGTCTAGACATCAGCATAAAACATTGGAACCAATTCACCAACTGGTATTTGAGTTATCAATGATAACGTTTCTTACGAAAAATTGCGACCATTTTGAAATTCAGTGGCCATCTTGGAAATGTATTGTTGAGCAGAAGTTCTCTGTCTCTAGGCATCAGCTTAAAGAATTTGAACCAAATCCGTCCACTGGTATTTGAGTTATCAAAGAAAATGTTCTTTTACGAAAAATGGCGGCCATTTTGAAAATTAGCTGCCATCTTGTAAAATCCCTTCTTGGGCAGAGCTTCAATGTCCTTAGGCATCAGCATGTAAAATTTGAACCAAATCCATTCACCGATATTTCAGTTATCAAAGATTACGTTTTTTTACGAAATATGGCGGCCATTTTGAAATTCAATGGCCATCTTGAAAATATCTTCACGAGCAAAGTTTCTTAGTCCATAGGCAACAGCATATAAAATTTGAAAATTTGAGCCAAATTTTTTACGAAAAACGGCCGCCATTTTGAATTTAGTGACCATATTGAAAATATGATTACTGTAATTAATCTTCTATTGTAATTTAAACTACCTAGAATGCCTATGGCGATTGGTAGTAGATATTTTGTGTATTTTTTGATTATGAAGGAAATAAATAATATGTTAAAAAAAAAATTGAAAATTTCTTCTCGAGCAGAGGCCCTTTACCCATAAGGCATAAGCCTATAAAATTTGTATCAAATCCGCCGACTGGTATTTGAGTTATTGCCTGGACAAACGGACGGACGGACGCCTTTTCTATATCCCCCTCCAACTTCGTTGGGTGTGATAAAAATTCGACCTACGTTACTTTCAGCGAAGAGATCAGAGCCCAATGTCCACAAAGGCTTCTAAGAATACATTATAAACGATTCATTTCTTGATCAGTGTCTCACGTAGATTATCTCCAAATGTACTTTTTACTCAAAACGGCATTCTAGTTTTACAAATCCATCCTCATCCACTGGTGTCCATGGGTGTTTAGATATAATTAAGGAATCGATAATCCAAAACAACTCAACCCCTAGTCCACCTGTCAATTTTTACATTTTAGTTATACTTTTACATATATATGTATGTATATGAGGGAGGACATAAAATTACCCTTGTTCTATGTAAAAATAAACCTCTATAGGGGGCCCCCTCTATATGTATTATGAACGTAGATCATGTGGATCAACGGATCAAGCCAGTGACCAATAGTCAGTTCAAGGATCAACAATTAGCCAGTCACATGTGACATAATGTCAAGTTAAAATATCTCGGTCCAATATACCAAACAGCAAATCAATTTATAGTTAACAAAATTAGTACATATTTATTTTTTCATCAATAAAGTGAAATGAAGAATGATAGCTATAGAATATTGAACAATGAGTGCTGAACATGGAATGCTATGATGTACAGTATATGTATGTATGTCATAGAAGTATTGTAATAATGTAAAACCATTTCGATCAAAACATCTGATCCATCTTAGGCATCGGACGAAGGCTTATTATTCGAAGTATCCACCTCCTACAAACAAAGAAAATAGCATGAATGGCACACAGTACAAACGGGACCATAATCAATCGAAATTAACCATTTTATTTTGAAAGCATTTCTTTACTAATATTTTTTTATTTATTTATTTGCCAGCACTTTTATAACAGTGGCACATGGATTATTATCCAGTGCGGCTACATACAACTATACAATATGAATAGAATACAAAGTCATGTATAATTTCTTTAAAACAATGTTGCATATACTAAAATAATCAAAGACATAAATCTCTGGGCTTGTACACTTGGGTTAAAAAGCGTTTTACAATGCTATCAAATAATCTAAAATAGTCTTGCCCCCATTTTGAAAAAGTCTCATCACCAAGAATAAAGGTCAATTTTTCAGTCAGATTGCCCTTAATGAAATCAGAAAATAAATCGGAGGGACATTGCTTACAAACAGTGTGGAAAAAGGATTCACGTTCTTCTTTAAAATGTTCACACAGCAGCAACCTATGCTGTCAGTCTTCATGTACATTCAAACTACAAAGTTTACATTTGCCATCACTTTTGCCCCATACAGAGTAATTATCCCATCGAACGAAGTTCGGAGGGATATAGGGAACGCCTCCGTCCGTCCGTACGTACGTACGTCCGTCCGTCCGGGCAATAACTCAAATACCGTTGGCCCGATTTTGTTCATATTTTGTACACATATACCCTATGGAGGTAGAAGTTCTGCTCGAAAGCCGATTTTCAAAATGGCCGCTCATTTCAAAATGGCGGCCATTTTAGTGCCGATTTTACAGTAATTTAGGTGCAATATGTAAAACTGTAATAGCAATATGTTTTAAATGTAAAAAATTATAAAGGACATTAATAGTGCTACAAATGTAGATATTAAAGAAGCACATGGCAGCCATCTTGAAAAATGGCGGCCTTTACTCGTCATTTTACGATTTTTGCTGTAACTCAAAAAATAGTGGAGCGATTTTGTTCATATTTGGTATGTGAATACTATAAGCGTTGCACACTGTCTAAAGACACTTTTGGTAGAAGGCGGCCATTTTGAAAAATCGCCGCCATTTTGACGTATTTTACTATAACTCGAAAAGTAGTGGAGCGATTTTGTTCATATTTGGTATGTGAATACTATAAGCATGGCACACTGTCCTATGACACTTTGGGTACAAGGCAGCCATTTTGAAAAAAAATTGAAAAAAGGCCACCATTTTAACGTATTTTACTATAACTCGAAAAGTAGTGGAGTGATTTTGTTCATATTTGGTATGTGAATACTATAAGCATGGCACACTGTCCTATGACACTTTTGGTAGGAGGCGGCCATTTTGAATTTTTTTTGAAAAATGGCCGCCATTTTAACGTATTTTACTAAAGTAGTAGAGCGATTTTGTTCATATTTGGTATGTGAATACTATAAGCATGGCACACTGTCTATTTCTAATGACACTTTTGGTAGAAGGTGGCCATTTTGAAAAATGGCTGCCATTTTAACATATTTTACTATGACTCGAAAAGTAGTAGAGCGATTTTGTTCATATTTGATATGTGAATACTTTAAGCATGGCACATTGTCTAATAAAACTTTGGGGAGTAGTCGGCCATTTTGAAAAATGGCCACCATTTGTATGTGTGTTATTTTACAAGTACGTGTGCGATTTTTCAAAAATTTTAGAGGTGGCTACTTAAAAGCATATTATTTCTTCTGATGACAACATGGCTAGTGAGCAACCATTTTGAAAATGGTGGCCTTTCTGGTGTGTTGTTTTATGATATTTGCTATTCGTTTGTAAAAATGCCAGCCATTTCTGTTCGATGGGATTCGCTACGCTTTCGCGTTGCCGTTGTTCTGGTTGGATTCAAGGCAAAAATTGTTGGTTCTTGCAAGAAATTTGAGTCTAGAACCATAAAAATCAAAGTCTTGTTTCAGATAATTTTCTTGGTATGGAAAAAGGTGGAATAAGTATTTAGAGATTTATAATGGGAAATGTCATCAATAAAATTAGTGGTGCGTTCCTGTCTACAAATGCCTTCATAGGTATTGTACCACTCACAGTCATCTCGAAAAAGAACGTCATCAAGGCCCCTCTTGATTAAAATAGACTATATGTTAGACACATATTTCGAAGGGGCTTCGTAAAATTACCCAATAAATATTGTTTCTTCATCAATTTAAAACCAAGTTGTACAGTTTATGCTCTATTAAATCTAATAATTTTCATTCGCATCTTATAAGTTTACGTAATTTATAACTTAATCGGCATTTCAAACAATTCATTTAACTCCCAATTTGAGATATTAATGCTACACTTCGAAGTCAGGCATAACTTACCTCTACATTTCTTCTATTTACTGATGCCATTGCAAACTAAAACAAAACAAAAACGGATAAATATTAACCTACGTTATGTAAAATTACCCTATAAATAGGTGATTTTAGAGTTGAAATTACCCGATGTAAACACTAGTGGGTATACCATAGATACAGCACGGTATTATGTTACTAAAACAGTGACATGTGAAAAAATTATTAAATCCATGAATGCTATGAACACACTACAATCATTCAACGAATTAGGTCTACAAACATCATTGACACTTTCCTTCTTGTGGGAACTCGTTGGTAATAGCTATAGTCTTACTTACCACTGTTTCATCTTTCTCATCCATCGTGTCATATAACGGATTATCTAAACTTCCACCCTTGAACAGCCTAACAACAAGAATAAAATAAGGCAGTGTTCCACAGTGAAAAACGTGCAATATCTCTTGTTTTAGGTTTAGCGTGTGATCACCAAACAATGGACAATATATACAAATGTATTTTTGACCCCCTGGTTATGATAGGATTAATGAACCAACCCTTAAATGAAACAAATCAATATCATATCGTATTTTTTACGAAAACAGGGATCGGGACTAAATGTATACAATTAAGCTGAGAAATTAAAATGGATTGCTCTGAACTTTGTCAGAAATAATTTGTATACTGGTCTTGTATGCTTACATGTTTATTTTGCGTCTCCTCGCGACAAAAAGGATCAACAGTGCCGACACCAATATAACCAGCAGTCCCGCAACAACACCTAATACAATATAGGCAGTGGTGTCTGAAAATAAATGGTGCTACTCTTCAAGTGACTGTATAATTCGAAATATGATTGTGAATGCTTCCAAACATAGAGCTATAAATAGGAAATGATTTGTCTGCAAGTCAGGCTGTAAATTATATGATCATACTGTAAACAGTTGTAGACTTCTCTTGAGGTCTACTGGCAAAATTGTATACTGTGGACCTTGAAACTACTGTTGACCGAGGCCAGAGTATAATTTGCTAGTGAGTACAACTGCGTCGTCTCTAAAAATTTCAAAACTGGGCGATGTGAATTCTTAAGCTCAATAGAATTATCCAGTACTAACAACAATTTCTTCCTTGTCTTTTTGAAAAAAAGGTAAATAATGACATACTTTTGTTGTCGGCATTATTTTTGTTAGAGGTATTTCCCTGTGCAGTGGGATCTTTTGTAGTAGTTGGTATATGCATGGTCTGTCTGGACGTTGTTGTTCCTTTATTTGAAGTAGGCATATCCGTTGATGGTTTCATTGTCGACATTGTAGTGGTGGTTTGATCTGTCGCAGATGCAGTCGTACCCGCAACTGTTGTTTTTATGGTACCTGAGGTTGTAACACTTGTACTTGACTGCATAGTAACAATGGTTGTATCGGGTTTCCTTGGAGGCGGAGGTAGCATGTTATTTGAGTTCTGGCAACCAGGTGTAACTGAAATATCATCAATCGCAATGGTTGAAGTGTTGTCAATGCCAGCTCTACCCTCTATGATAATTTGAAACGTGTACGGAATATTAATTGTTATTTCTGCTCTGTTCCAGTAATCCCCCAGGGAGCCCTGTCGCTGCCATAACGTCGAAGTAGGATCCCCAAATGCATAGATACGGGAATATACAGAGAGGCTGTTGGTATGGAGACCATCCATATAATACCAGAACCTCATCTTACAACTGCCATCAGATGTTTCATGATATTTGTGGCTCAATAACCAGTCGTTTTTATCATAGTCCATTGATGTATATTGCAGATATAGATAGTATCCCTTATTTGTGCCAAATGTGTGGTCCCTTCCCGGGGATCTGAACGAATCATACTGCAAGCCTTGGGTGCGGAACCATCGGACAGTGTCACTTACATGGACATACGTAAACTCTCCTATGTTTGTTTCAAAGTCAAAGCGTTTGTATGAGGTACATATCACAGCATCTTCATCAGAATTATCTGAGCAGTCATCCGAAATATCACAAAGTTGAGATTTATCAACACAGGCTTTTGAGAATGCACACTGGAATTTAGACGATGAGCATCTTCTAACAGGCGCGGGAGGTTCACAACCTTCAAACGCGATGTCGTCCAATGCAATTGTCCCGGAGTAAAAGTCTGAATCTGAATTCCCAGTAAATGTGATCGTCATTTCACCATGTCTTCCAAGTCCAATTACAGCATGTCTCCACTGTCCATTCGTCTTCTCCGTTAATCGTGATAAAGCTGTTGTTGTTACAGTGTTACTTGCAGTGTTATTGTTTTCATCTATGGTCACGAGTATATCTCCAGGGTGTTCTCCATTGATGTAGTAATAAAATGAAAGTTTACAATTGGCGCTTGTCTGTGGATATGCTCTGCTCGTCAGTTTTGCGGGGTTCTTGTTTCTAACATTTTGGGAGATGGACATGTAATACCCAGCTGGAGATTTTAATGTGTTGTCCGATGCTGGAGCAGAGTTGTACTTCTGATTGGTTGATCGTCCATCTCCTCTTGTCCAATCAAATCCATTCACGTATGAAATGTCTGACCAATCACAAGTGTCAACTTCAAAGTCACACGAATAAGTGCAGTCTTCTTCATCTTCACCTGATGGACAATCGCTTACAAAATCACACTTTTTAGAGCTATCAACACATCCACCACTATTGCATTGAAATTGGTCGAGTTTGCATTGTGGTTTGAGTGTACTTGTTGTTGGAGGTGTTACTTTCATAGATGTAGGTTTGGGGGTTGTTGATGGTGAAGTAGATCTTGTAGGTGCTACCGTGGTAAACATTGGTAATGTTGTGTTATGTTTGATACACCCAGGCGTAAAGCTGAAATCGTCAATCACCAGACTGTTGTCTCTAACACCTCCACCTATCGTACCCTCTATCACCACCTATAAAGTACACGTACACTGAAGATTTACCCATGTATGTGGGATCCATAGTCTGTATTATCCCTTTCATTAGATAAATAGAGACTCTGATACATCTGAATAATGATTTACACCAGTATAACAAATTGCAACAAAGGTAGGATTGCTTGATGATAGATACGATGTAACCAGTTGCAATTGTGAATTTGTTTCAGTATATGACTTAGCCACGTTAGTGAACACGCTTCATGTGAATATTGAATTGCAATGAGCCATGTCAGTGGTGATACTCTTCCAAAAACATGTGAATGGAAGACATGCACCACGTCATTAATCACTTTGTGCGAGAATGTATATGAGAAAAAACAAATGAGAAAATATGTTTTGATCAATGGCAAGATGATACCTAGTCAACATACACTGTAATGGATATACATGTAATCATAGATGGAATTGACTACGTACCTGGAAAGCTTCAGTCTGATAGAGTTGTATCTCGGCACGTTGGAAAAAAGTACCAATATCACCATTTCTTGACCAAACCTTCCTCATGGGGCCATCTTGTGCTGTTTGTGTATAAACTGTTATTCCTCGGACGTTTTTACCGTACATCATATACCAAAATCTAAACTAAAAGACAATGACAGTTTTGAACTTAGTTAGCCTGATATTTGTAGAATGAGCCAAGATAATGGGCATTGTTGGAGATGAATACAAATTATAAACCTAAATCATTCGTACCATTTCAAGAAAATGATAGAAAAATCAAACTCCAACGCGATATCAATAGCCTTCTAAAATTCTAAAATGAAAAACAGCTCTCCAGTATGATTTTTTGGTATATACTGAATAAACAAGCACATTCATTGGCTACTCTATTACTAAAACTGCATCTACAACGTTTCTCATATTTGTGAATTTAACATTAAACTCACAGTACATGTGTTCCTAACTGAACGTTTCCGAGATGCTGAAGCTCTGAATACAGGGCTCACCACCCGACCTTGCCACCCGACTCTCCTAGAATAGTGCCCTTGTATGTAGAGAAAATGGCCTGTAAAGTCAAAGTTAAACACTATAATAGTACTACATTTATTCAGATGACTAACATTTACTTGTAAAACATATTCAGTCTGATAAATGATAGTTCCAAAGGGATACTTGTCCTCCTTCTACTTGTAAAATTATAATCAATTTTGTCCTAATTATGGAATATGGGGAGGAAATACTCATCTACATCGGTTTCTTGGTTGCATTATATTTTTGTGGTTATTTCAATTGTTCTATCCATGGTCCTATGGGTTACCCTACCTGTATAAAGACCTGTGGTGTGGTCTCTTGTCGGTCTTGTTCCTCTGTAAGAACTACCTGTAGCCCATAGCCAAAACGTCTCTGCCGTTCTATCATGTGACCAGTCACACAGGGCACTCCTCTCAAAGCTGCAACTCCCAGGGAAATCATCTGAAATAGAAATAATACAACACATGGATAAGAATCATGAACAGAAAACCATAAAATACAGAATTATTAGGTCAGGATATATACAATTAGAATTTTAAGAAAAAAGTCTAAGGACTCAAGCACATACCACAAGGACTCAAGCACATACCACAATTATTTTCGTCACTGCCATCACCGCAATCATTGGAGAAGTCGCATTGCTTGTTTTCTTGTATGCAGCCACCAGAGTTGCAGCGGAACTCAGTCGGAACACATTGAGACTGAGGGGCTGGAAAAGAAATGGAAATTAACTGAAAACTGAGATTACACAGTAGTTTTTTGTCTCTGCGCTTATTAGAATGAATCCATCTTGAGACATTCCTAGATTTGCATCTGATCTATACAAAAAGGTGTGGCATTTAGAGATTATGGTGATTTGTAAAAAATAAATAATAGTAAACCACTTTTACCTGGGAACCCACAGTTCTCCATGGATATATCATCTAGAGCAATATCTCCAATAATGGATACTTTACTTGTGGCTTTGAACACCATCTAAACCAAAACATTCAAAAATATGAAGATGATACAAAAATAAAAATAAAAATTTTCAAAAGGTATAATAATTTTAATGCAGTTGCAATATAAATTAAATCAGCCTTAAGTTTTCAAAAGGTTTAATAATTTTAATGTAATTGCAATATAAACTAAAGCAGCCTTAAATTTTCAAAAGGTTTAATAATTTTAATGCAATTGCAATATAAACTAAAGCAGCCTTAAATTTTCAAAAGGTTTAATAACTTTAATGCAATTGCAATATAAACTAATAATTTTAATGCAATTGCAATATAAACTAAAGCAGCTTTAAATTTTCAAAAGGTTTAATAATTTTAATGCAATTGCAATATAAACTAAAGCAGCCTTAATGCACAAATATTATATCTATCATTATCTATATGACTTTGTATCATTGTAATTGTAAGCTTATCTGGCTTTCACTCTTTATTTTTAGGTAAAATGTCCAAGTGATTTCTATAACAATTGTTTGGCCATTTTACATGAGGACTTTCGATATTGTTGACTGTCATAGAACGCGTATCACTTACTTCAAATGGTGTAGCCAAACTGCCAACAACTGCCTTGCCCTGTCGCCAGGTGTCGCCATTGTCACCCTGTGTGTACCATATCTCAGTATAACGTGACTCAGCAGTTCCACGCACACTTATCGAGATTTCTCCAACATCTGGATGTGAAAAATCGCTATATCATCAAAAATATGTAACATAAGGACAAGGCTATCTCCATACTGCCATCATTTTCAAGTTTTATGGTCCACATACGTACAGATGCATACACGATACGATTTGTCACTCCCAAGTTTAGAGAAGGGTTTGAAGAATGACAACACACTGTTTCTAAAGACAATTGGTCAGTTATTGAGAAATTGTAGAATTTTTGTCTGCCCAACTGACCTTTTCCGTAGAGGTGATACCAAAAGGTTACGGTGCACTGTGGGCCTGAGGATTGTAAGGGTGGTCCGCTTAACTCAGCAGTGTGTCTCAGCTGTGGACGCTTTACACCACCCGAAGCGTCCGTGAACATGTACCAGCCTATATATAATCATTTTTATTAAATATACCGTTGTTTTAGGGGAATATTGAAAAAGAAATTAAGACACAAGTTCATTCTGTTTGTATCATTGTATAGGAAAATATTGTAGGTCTGTAATTGTAAGGCGATAAAATGTTAATTTTGCATTTTCAGTGTGTTCTTTTATCACGTTTAACCTGTATGTGATCCAGTGGTGTGATCATTCGTTGGGCCACTCAGCATTGTTCCTGTACCATTCCTTCCTCTTTTCCACAACAGGCCGTCATTACTCGTGTCCACCCATTCGCAAGTATCCATTTCAAATGTGCAATCTCCTAAAATCATCGTGTGGCAATATTTGATTATTAATACTTTTGAGGGCAAATGCCGTTCAGATTGAATCAAGGCTTCGCCACAGCAAGGACGCACAATACAGGCCAAAATGTACTTTTATACTGGCTTAAACCGACAATTTGGTAAAAATGGAATTATATATTTTTGTCATAATATAAAGCCTACCACATATTAGCTCATCGGCGTTGTTTCTGCAATCTCTGACGAAGTTGCACACTTTATCAGCAGCAACTTGTGTACCCTCTCCACATTGAAATGGTGGCCCACTGGTGTGGTTAGAGCACAGACCGAAATCAAGCCGTGTATCGTCAATGGCAATGTCCCCACGTGATGCTAATCCGATTATTCCTTCAATCGTGATCTACAATTGATTGTCTAAAAGCTACATGGATGAAGGAGGCAAGAGACAATTCGCATTTGCTTTTCATAATGGCCCGGATAGAGTAGTGTGTGTAGTGCGTAGATAAAGACGATATACCATCGATCATTTAATTTACACCAACAATTAAACTATTTACTGCCAAAATGTTATTTATTTTCGAAAAAATTGAATAAGTGTCATGAATCATTTCATCACAAGCAAAGAATGCGATTAGTGTATCCTTACATCAAAAGGACTAAGCACATCTGATATTTGGACAACCCCATAGTTCCATGCTTTTGATTGGTCACCAGTCTTGGACCAAATTCTTGTGCCATATTTCAACTTTGCATCATCGTCATCACGGACAGCTTTTTTGTAGACGTTGATTGTCCCAATATCTTTACCATTCATGTGGTACCTTTGAAGAATGAAAAGGATGCAGAATTAGAAAATTTTGACTTTTTTGATTCAATAATGATTTTTTGAAGTTTTTATTATCACCCAAATGAAGATATCTTGTTTGTTAATTATTTAGCAGTAGTTTTCAGTCTATAGTGAGTATACATCTCTAGTCTAAAGCCACTTTTAGTACTGAAAATATATTATATGTTGAGACGTTACCATGTGGCAGGTCGTGAGTTCGAGTTCATTCATTTTTTATAGTTTGTAGATGGTTAACTTTGAGGAATACGTTTTTGCTGACCTTGATCTTTTATACATAATTAAATTGAGGAGAAGGAAAAACAATGATTTTTTGCTAATTGGATAGCTGCAACGCTTTTTATAATATCCATCATCGCTATGGTCACTATAAAGACCCCGCTTAAAATCAACAGTACAGGTGCTGAACCTGATTTGAAAAATTGACCTAAGGTTTCCCGGCACAAAGGTTTACAGGTGTGAAAGAAATGATGGTCCCCCCGGGATTATGGCCCCCTTTCTTAACGGCCCTCACTGGCCCTGATTGCGTATAAGATAATGAGGGAAAGAGTTGTATTTAGGTCACCATATAAATCAATGGAGAGTAGGACCATAATTTGATAGGACCTCCTATCCTTTTACACCTGTACACAGTCTTACCAGAAACTAAAACAAAACTTTTTGAATTCAGTATTATCATCATCTGCTAATGACTTATAGAGGTATGGGATGATTCTCTCAGACAATAGCCTCGCTTTCATGCCTGGCTTTGTAGCGGGACCAGACGCACTCAAGTACATATACCATCCTATAAATATGAAATTGTGGTTGTGTTTGAACCAATTTTACTTGACATCACATAATTATAAATGTGTTTCAAAACAAGTATCCACTCAACGATATCAGAGTCCAGCCTAACGTCAGGCTATAATTTTACAATTGATATTTCTATAATGGATTAGAGATATCAAAAATATGATATAATTACAGGGTGGTTCAAAAAATGGGACACTTGTATTTCAAAAATAAATATTGATTTTCTTGATAAAAACATGTCATATTATATACCATTGGATAGGGAATTCACTTATCTTTAATTTGGTATATCATAAGTAT